TGTAGCTCTAAAATATTACTTGAAATCACAGAAGATAATAAAAGTTCTTTCAGTGGGCAGGATTGCTTTAGCTGTCCTGGGATTTTGAAATTCCAGATGAAATTGAAGTTTGTTTTGTTGTTTGTTTGTTCATTTGTTTTCTATTTCTGTGAAGGATTATGTTGGAATTTTTATAATGATTGCAGTGAATATATTTCTTTTATGATTTTATGCATAAAAGACCCTAAATTAAAGATGCCACCAGGGAACCTCTACAGCTGATCAAACACTTCTAGCAAAGTAGCAGGATGTGACATGAACACACAGAATCAGGGTAATAGTAGCTTCAAAAAAAAGCATTTGGAAATAGTTCTTCTGTTTCTGTTTTGAAGAATAATTTGAGGAGTATTTGAGAATTGCTTTTGGTTTTTTTTTTGTTTGTTTGTTTGTTTTCTGGTTGATAATCTTTTTTTTATTGAGAAAAGGAGAAAAAAACACAAGTTTCCACCTCCTCCCAGCCTCCCATTTCCCTCCCCCTCCTCCCACCCTTCTCCCCCTCCCCCCACTCCTTTCCCCCTCCCTCTCCAGTCCAAAGAGCAGTCAGGATTTTCTGCCCTGTGGTAAGTCCTAGGTCCTCCCCCCTCCGTCCATATCTAGGAAGGTGAACATCCAAACTGGCTAGGCTCCCACCAAGCCAGCACATTAAGCAGGATCAAAACCCCGTGCCATTGTCCTTTGCGTCTCATCAGCTCTCATTGTTCGCCATGTTCAGAGAGTCCAGTTTTATCCCATGCTTTTTCAGTCACAGTCAAGCTGGCCTTGGTGAGCTCCCAATAGATCAGCTCCACTGTCTCAGTGGGTGGGTGCACCCCTCATGGTCCCAACTTCTTTGCTCATGTTCTCCCTCCTTCTGCTCCTCATTGGGACCTTGGGAGCTCAGTCCAGTGCTCCAGTGTGGGTCTCTGTCTCTATCTCCATCCATCACCAGATGAAGGTTCTATGATGATATGCAAGATATTCGTCATTATTGCTCTAGGATAGGGTCATTTCAGGTTCCCTATCCTCAGCTGCCCCAGGAACTAACTGGGGACCTCGGCTTGGGCACCTGGGAGCCCCTCTAGGGTCAGGTCGCTTGCCAACCCTAAAGTGGCTCCCTTAACTAAGAATTGTGGTTCCGTGCTCCCCTGTCCAACCTTCCTTTATCTCAATCCTCCTGTTTCCCCAAGCCCCCCCCTCCTTCCTTGCTTTTGGTTTTTTTTGTTTGTTTGTTTGTTTGTTTTCTGGTTGATAATCTTTTTTTTATTGAGAAAAGGAGAAAAAAAAACAAGTTTCCACCTCCTCCCAGCCTCCCATTTCCCTCCCCCTCCTCCCACCCTTCTCCCCCTCCCTCCACTCCTTTCCCCCTCCCTCTCCAGTCCAAAGAGCAGTCAGGGTTTTCTGCCCTGTGGTAAGTCCTAGGTCCTCCCCCCTCCGTCCATATCTAGGAAGGTGAACATCCAAACTGGCTAGGCTCCCACCAAGCCAGCACATTAAGCAGGATCATCTCTCCCCATCTCCCCTTACCCACATCCCACCCCACCCCCAAGATCCAATTTTCCCCCCGGCAATTTTGTCTACTTCCCTTAGCCAAGAGGATAACTATATGTTTTTCCTTGGGTTCACCTTCTTACTTAGCTTCTTTAGATTCACCTATTGTAGACTCCGTGACCCTTATTTATGGCTAGAAACCAATTATGAGTGAGTATATCCCATGTTCATCTTTTTGGGTCTGGGATACCTCACTCAGGATAGTGTTTTCTATTTCCATCCATTTGCATGCAAAATTCAAGAAGTCATTGTTTTTTACCGCAGCGTAGTACTCTAATGTGTATATATTCCATACTTTCTTCATCCATTCTTCCATTGAAGGGCATCTAGGTTGTTTCCAGGTTCTGGCTATTACAAATAATACTGCTATGAACATAGTTGAACAAATGCTTTTGTCATATGATAGGGCATCTCTTGGGTATATTCCCAAGAGTGGTATTGCTGGGTCCAGGGGTAGATTGATCCCGAATTTCCTGAGAAACCGAAACACTGACTTCCACAGTGGTTGCACAAGATTGCATTCCCACCAGCAATGGATGAATGTACCCCTTCCTCCACAGCCTCTCCAGCAAAGGCTATCCTTGGTGTTTTTGACTTTAGCCATTCTGACAGGTGTAAGATGATATCTCAAAGTTGTTTTGATTTGCGTTTCCCTGATTGCTAAGGAAGTTGAGCACGACCTTAAGTGTCTTTTGGCCATTTGAACTTCTTCTGTTGAGAATTCTCTGTTCAGTTCAGTGCCCCATTTTTTAATTGGGTTAATTAGCATTTTAAAGTCTAGTTTCTTGAGTTCTCTATATATTTTGGAGATCAGACCTTTGTCTGTTGCGGGGTTGGTGAAGATCTTCTCCCAGTCAGTAGGTTGCCTTTGTGTCTTAGTGACAGTGTCCTTTGCTTTACAGAAGCTTCTCAGTTTTAGTAGGTCCCATTTAGATGCTGAAAAAGCATTCGACAAAATTCAACATCCATTTATGTTAAAAGTCTTGGAGAGATTAGGGATACAAGGGTCATACCTAAATATAATAAAAGCTATATACAGCAAGCCGACAGCTAACATCAAATTAAACGGAGAGAAACTCAAAACCATCCCGCTTAACTCAGGAACACGACAAGGCTGTCCACTCTCACCATACCTCTTCAATATAGTGCTTGAAGTTCTAGCAATAGCAATAAGACAACATAATGGGATCAAGGGGATTCGAATTGGAAAGGAAGAAGTTAAACTTTCATTATTCGCAGATGATATGATAGTGTACTTCAGCGACCCCCAAAACTCCACCAAAGAACTTTTACAGCTGATAAACAGCCTTGGTAATGTGGCAGGATACAAGATCAACTCCAAAAAATCAGTCGCCCTCTTATACACAAAGGATATGGAAGCAGAGAGGAAAATCAGAGAAGCTTCACCATTCACGATAGCCACAAACAGCATAAAATATCTTGGAGTAAATCTAACCAAGGAAGTGAAAGATCTATTTGACAAGAACTTTAAGGCATTGAAGAAAGAAATCGAAGAGGATACCAAAAAATGGATGGACCTCCCTTGCTCTTGGATTGGGAGGATCAACATAGTAAAAATGGCAATTCTATCAAAGGCAATTTATAGATTCAATGCAATCCCCATCAAGATCCCATCAAAATTCTTCACAGATATGGAGAGGACAATAATCAACTTTATATGGAAAAACAAAAAACCCAGGATAGCCAAAACAATCCTATACAATAAAGGATCTTCTGGAGGCATTACCATCCCTGACTTCAAACTCTATTACAGAGCTACAGTAATGAAAACAGTGTGGTACTGGCATAAAAACAGAGAAGTCGACCAATGGAATCGTATAGAAGACCTGGATTTTAACCCACAAACCTATGAACACCTCATTTTTGATAAAGGAGCTAAAAGTATACAATGGAAGAAAGAAAGCATCTTCAACAAATGGTGCTGGCACAACTGGATGTCAACCTGTAGAAGAATGAAAATAGACCCATATCTCTCACCGTGCACAAAACTCAAGTCCAAATGGATTAAAGACCTCAATATCAGCCCGAACACACTGAAAATGATAGACGAGAAAGTGGGAAATACCCTACAACAGATGGGCACAGGAGATCGCTTCCTATGTATAACCCCAGAAGCACAGACATTAAGGGCAACATTGAATAAATGGGACCTACTAAAACTGAGAAGCTTCTGTAAAGCAAAGGACACTTGCTTTTGGTTTTTACAATATTAATCCTGCTGTTCCATGATCATGGGAGATCTTTCCAACTTCTGATATATTCTTCATTTTCTTTTTTCAATGTCTTAAAGTTTTTCTTATACAAATCTTTCACGCTTGGCTAGAGCTATCCCAAGATATTTTTGAGGCTATTGTAAAAGGTGTTGTTTCCCTGATTTCCTTCTCAGACTATTTATATATAGGAAGACTACTGGGTTTTGTGTGTTTGTATCCTGCTACTTTGCTGAAAGTATTTATCAGCTGTAGATATTTCCTGGTGGAGTCTTTATGGTCTTTTATGTATACAATCATATCATCTACAAATAAGAAATTTTCTTTTTACTTCTTTCTATCCCATTTGTATCCTTTGATCTACTTCAGTTGTCTTATTGCTCTAGCTAAGACTTCAGATGTATGGAGAGAGTGGACAACCTTGTCTTGTTCCTGATTTTAGTGGAAATCCTTTGAGTTTTCTCCCTTTAGGAAGATAGTGGCTGTGGACTTGATATAAACTGGCCTTCTTATATTTAAGTATTTTCTTTGTATTCCTAGTCTCTCTAGGACTTTTATCATGAAGGAGTGTTGAATCCCGACAAAGAATCTTTGCATCTAATAAGATGATTGTGTGGTTTTTGCCTTTTTTTCTGCGTGTTTGCTTTTGTTTTGTTCTGTTTTGTCTTGTTGGTTTCTCTGTGTAGCCTCTCCCCCCCCCAACCCCCTGTGCTTCTTTTTGTCTGTTATTGGTGGACTCTGTTTATTGATTTGGGCATGCTGCACTGCCCTATGTCTCTAGAATGAAGCTAAGTTGATCACAGCGGAAAGACTTTGTGATGTGTTCAATTTAGTTTGCACATATTTTATTGAGAATTTTTGCATCTGTGTTGATAAGGGGGATTGGCCTAAATTTTTCTTTATTATTTAATCTATGTATGGTTTTGATATCAAGGCAATAGTGGCTTCATAAAAAGAATTTGGAAATGTTCCTTCAGTTTCTATTTAATGGAGTAGCTTGAGTGTTGGCATCAGTTCTTCTTTGAAAGTCTGGTAGAATTCTGCTCTGTATCTTTCCGGCCCTGGGCTCGCTTTTGGGGAGATTTTTAATTATTGCATCTTAATATGAGGGGTTATGGGTCTATTTAAATTGTTTTAAAATGATTATGTTTCTATATGCAAAAAAAACTATTTTTGCTGAAATAATTTGAGTATTGCTTTCAGGCATTTGCGATATAAATGGGATGAAAAGCAGAAGTTGTGTTACGTATCTCAAGGAAACACCAATTTTGTTTACGGCTATGAGTACTTGGGCTGTGCACCAAGGCTGGTCATCACGCCCCTCACAGAGCGATGCTGGCTGACTCTCACCACAGCGCTGTCCTTCAACCTAGGAGGCTGCAATGCCGGGCCGGCAGCTGTAGGGAAAACTGAGACTATTAAAGACCTGGCGAGAGTAAGTAGTTACTGTATCCAGATGTTTGTCATACAGACTTCAATTGTATCTTAAGTTTACACTATTCCCACTGTTAAAATGTTCATTGTATTTACCAACACATTCATGGCATGAAACACTCCATCAGTTAAACTGTGAATTCCTAGCACAGGAAGGTCTGGCTAAGCCATCGTCTTCGTGTTTCTCTGGAACACCGCTGCAGGAGCTGACCAGTTAGCAGGCGGGAGGTGGAGGGAAGCGGTCATTTCTACTCTGCTCTGTTGTCCTAATGGTTTTGTTGTTGTGTAAATCATGACTGAAGCTTGAAATAGCCAACTCTCCCGCAGCAACCAATCTCATGCTTCCTCTATTAGTTCTGTGGGTCTCTAAACTTGATGTCTAATGCATTTTTTAAAACTAAGTTTTTTTTTCTCGAAAAGCTTAATAGAAATATTTTCTTACTCTGGCAGTTTAAACATCTTTATTTTATGGCATCACTCAAGAACTATATTAAAACAGTATTTTGTTTTCCAGAGCTATGGCAAACATTGTGTGGTGTTCAACTGTTTTGAAGATTTGGATTATAAGGTAAAGCGTAAGCTTATATCCTTAAATAAACTGTGCGTGAAAAGTAATTCATTGAGGAATTAAAGAAACTAAGAAAAATACCAAAAAATGTATTGGTAGGAGTACACATACTATTAGTCTTTTAATGAATAGAGAAAATAAGCCTAGAACCTAATTGAAAGTTAAAACATTATGTAAACATTACCATTTTTAAAGTGGTTCAACTTAATTCCTTAAAGCGTTAATTCTCAGTGTTTATGACGGAGGGATTCTTTTTAAACAAAACCTCACTTGCACAGAGCACGTGCTTGTGCTTCTTCGTTAATAAAAATACAAATGTTCATGCTGGGCATGGTGGTGCACGCCTTTAATCCCAGCTCTCAGGAGGCAGAGGCAGGCGGATATCTGTGAGTTCAAGACCAGCCTGGTCTACAAGAGCTAGTTCCAGGACAGGCTTCAAAATTACAGAGAAACCCTGTCTCGAAAAACCAAAAACTAAAATAAAAAACAATACAAATGTTTCTTACCTTGAACATTTAGTTACTGAAAAGGTAATTGAAAAACTCAAAGAAGTTACAGTGATTAACATCAAAAAGAATTGTAAACATAATAATGATAATTGTCTAAGACATGTCTAATAAAATCTTGAAATACTTTTATTAAAATTTCATGCTCCCCTATGTGTCAGATACAAATTGAATTCTAGTTGTCACAGCACCGTAGTTTGGGGGCGTTGTATCCTACTGCTGGGACTGAATCCAGGTCCCTTGTGGTGCCAAGTGCCCTATAACTGAGCCACATTCCCAACTCTGTAACTTGTTTTACATGTTGATTAGAGCCCAAAATACCCCACAGTGAACAAATATTGACACTTAATACAAAGGTATCTGATTTTTTGCTTTTTCCAGAAGCTTCTGTACCCTCCCAGACCCATGTGCTGTATTCTCTCTCCCCTCTCTATACCTGAGAACCCAGGCATTCCTCAACTTCTCTTCTGCCCATGAAGGTTTTTTGTTTTGTTTGGCATTGGCTCTGCTTGACTGTTTCCTTTAACCTGGTAGGTATTTACAAACCAACAGACTTCAATGCGGCTTTTTAGTGTTCACAGAAGGCTGTTGGCCTGGTTAACGCAGGCCCGTGGCTGCTGGCCAAAGGAGGAAAGGCCATCAGCTGCGTGCCTCTGCTGGGCAGGCTGTCAACTGTGTGCCTCTGCTGGGCAGGCTGTCACTGTGTGCCTCTGCTGGGCAGGCTGTCACTGTGTGCCTCTGCCGGGCAGGCTGTCAACTGTGTGCCTCTGCCGGGCAGGCTGTCAACTGTGTGCCTCTGCCGGGCAGGCTGTCAACTGTGTGCCTCTGCCAGGCAGACTGTCACTGTGTGCCTCTGCTGGGCAGGCTGTCAACTGTGTGCCTCTGCTGGGCAGGCTGTCAACTGTGTGCCTCTGCCGGGCAGGCTGTCACTGTGTGCCTCTGCCGGGCAGACTGTCACTGTGTGCCTCTGCTGGGCAGGCTGTCAACTGTGTGCCTCTGCTGGGCAGGCTGTCACTGTGTGCCTCTGCTGGGCAGGCTGTCACTGTGTGCCTCTGCTGGGCAGGCTGTCAACTGTGTGCCTCTGCCGGGCAGGCTGTCAACTGTGTGCCTCTGCCAGGCGGACTGTCACTGTGTGCCTCTGCTGGGCAGGCTGTCAACTGCGTGCCTCTGCTGGGCAGGCTGTCAACTGCGTGCCTCTGCTGGGCAGGCTGTCAACTGCGTGCCTCTGCTGGGCAGGCTGTCAACTGTGTGACTCTGCTGGGCAGGCTGTCAACTGCGTGCCTCTGCCAGGCGGACTGTCACTGTGTGCCTCTGCCAGGCGGACTGTCACTGTGTGCCTCTGCCGGGAGGACTGTCACTGTGTGCCTCTGCCAGGCGGACTGTCACTGTGTGCCTCTGACAGGCGGACTGTCACTGTGTGCCTCTGCCAGGCGGACTGTCACTGTGTGCCTCTGCCGGGAGGACTGTCACTGACTGTCACTGTGTGCCTCTGCTGGGAGGACTGTCACTGACTGTCACTGTGTGCCTCTGCTGGGAGGACTGTCACTGACTGTCACTGTGTGCCTCTGCCAGGCGGACTGTCACTGTGTGCCTCTGCTGGGAGGACTGTCACTGTCTGTCACTGTGTGCCTCTGCTGGGAGGACTGTCACTGACTGTCACTGTGTGCCTCTGCTGGGCCATCAGCTGTGTCTCTCTGCTGGGCAGGCTTGAGTCTGGCTGGGACCTACCTGGTGCTCAGGGCTTGGTTCACTTATCTGTGGTGCCAATCAGCTTGGTGTGTGTCCTCTTGCTCCACATGAATAGAAAATTGTGTCTAGGCAAGAAGTCTTTCAAGAGCTGGGCTTTTGGCAGCTTTCGTTTCTCTCTGTGTTTGGTGGTAGTGTTGTGTGCAGGAGGGAGCAGCAGCCGGTGGCACCTTCCAATGTCACCATCCTCCCACAGGCCTCTGGTATCAGGGTGCTTTGTCCTGTTGGTGTTAAAGCTCCTATTTAGGCCCCGGAAGTTGAGATTCCTCTGCCTATGAATGCAGCTTACATTTTAATTTCCGAACAGCCCTTATTAGGATTCTCCAACCTTAGACATTAGCCAATGTAATGGTTCGCATGGTGGCCTCAATGTCAGGATTCCTTAACCCTTAACACTAGCCAATGTTACAGTCAGGGCCTATGCTCTTGTCCCTATAGACTTCCTAGTTTTGTGAATTCTTCCAGTGCCTGCTTCCTGGATCTTTGGAGCTTTTCACCCTGAAGTTTCTGCTCTCCACCTTGTCCCTGCTCCCCCTGCCATGTGCCATTTGCTGGCTGCTCTTGAGTTGTCCGCTGCTGCTCGTCGGTTGCTAACCATCAAGCTAACCTGCCACGTGCACAGCTAAGCCTGCCAACTCTGCCACTGCTGCTGTTGCTGCCTATTTTTGTCACTACTTTTCAGTCTCCGTGGCTACTTTCGTATCGCTAGCTCAGCCCACAGTGCTAAAAACAGGCGAGAAAGGACCATTTGTGAGAAGCCCTTACTGGTTAGTTTTTTGTCAGCCTGGCACAGCCAGGGTCAATAAAGAAGGAATTACAACTGAGAAAATGCCTCCATCAGATTAGCTTGTAGGCAAGTCTGCGGGACATTTACTTGATTGAGGACTGATGTGGGTGGACCCAACTCACTTTGGTGGCGCCTCTGGTGATTGACTGGTCCTGGGCTAAGTTAAAAGGGTAGTGGAGTAAGGCATGAGGAGCAAGCCAGTAAACAGCGTCCTCCACGGCCTCTGCTTCAGTTCCTGCCCTGACTTCCCTGCATGGTGGACTACAACTTAAGCCTTAAAAAAAAAAAAAAAAAATCCCATTCTTCCCCAGGTTACTTTCGGTCACGTCTTTATCACACCAGTAGAAAGCAAATGAAGACACCTATTATTGGACCTAAAGTTGCCGTCTAGCGGCAGGAGCACCGAAGTCCCATCTTCCGTCAGACTCACCCAGTGAGCACAGGAGGGTGCTTAGGCTTTGCCTTTGGCGTCAGTCACAGCCATAGAGGTTTGTGCTTGAAACAATCACAGGCTCCCTTTTTAGTGTCTGTCAGAGCAGTTCCCTGGCTAGGCTGTCAGGGGAAACGCTCCCTCTGGCCCCAGCAGACATTGTTACAGTTAGTGTTCACAAGGCCGGTGATGGTTCAAAACAAACAAAAACAAAAAAACTGGCCCAAATTTCTGAACTTCTCCCAAGTCTGTGCCACCAGGAATGAGGCAATCAGCTGCAGTTGTGTGATATGGGAGTTCCCTCTGTCTGCTGTGATTACCATTAATGAATAAAGAAACTGCTTTGAGCCTATGCTGTATGCTGGGAGAAAGAAAGGCGGAGCCAGGGAGACGCTATGGAGCCACTGCTGGAGATAGACATACTGAGACTTTGCTGGTAGGCCATGACCTTGTGGTGATATACAGATTAATAGAAATGGGTTAAATTAATATGTAAGAGTTAGCCCATAAGAAGTTAGAGCTAATGGGCGAAGCAGTGATTTAATTAATATAATTTCTGTGTGATTATTTCGGGGCTAAACTAGCCTGGTGGCCAGCACAAACAGGCAGCCCCTCCCTCCTTGCAACAGTTGTGTTGTGGTTTTCTTGAAGCACCGATGCAGTACTCTAGACATTTGGTGTTGGGGTCAACTGTGAGTCCTTTTACTCAAGGCACAGCTGGGACAGCAAGGAGGAATCCAACAAAGTAAAATTATTCCATCCTTCATCACCTTATTTACAGGAAAATGAGCGCCAGAAGAGTGCTGACGCTAAGATCTTAGAATTCTATCGTTGATAGTAATAGGGCTTTTAACAGTTTGCAACAGTGTTTCAACTACACCTGCTTACAAGATCCCCGACCCCTACCTACCCCATCCCCTCCCCTGCACCCTCACCCCTAGCACCAATTGCCTCATCTATAGACCACACTAAACTACAAGGAATCTGCCTGCTCCAGAGAAGGACATCTGCCTTCTGACACGTAACTCCCATCTGCTGCAACAGGGTCATAGAAACGCCTCTAGGATGCAGCTCTGAGACCTAAACTGGCTTTGTGCAGCTGGCCATCAGCTGCTCCTGCCAATGGTCCTGAAACGCAGGAGTTTGCTGTGTGTGTTTCAGCTTTCAAAAGAAACACGGTGAAGTCATCAAGAGTCGAAGCAACTGCTAAACTCTATGAAGAGAAAAATGCAAAAGATACTTAACTTGGCTTGGGGAAGATGAGAAGAATACATACAATTTAGTATCCAGGTGGAAGTGTTCGCCTTTATAGTTTCTGTAATCAACCTTTTTTTTTTTTAAGATAATGGGGAAATTATTCTTCGGGTTGGTGCAGTCGGGAGCTTGGTGCTGTTTCGATGAGTTCAACCGGATAGATATAGAAGTTCTCTCGGTCATTGCCTCGCAGATCCTAACCATCAAGGTTGCAAAAGACAGCTACTCTGTGAGGTATTTATGCATGGGTTACTCCTTTGGGATGGAATTTGATACACATTTACTGTTTACTTAGTGCTGAGTCCTTTTCTTAAGTGTTGGGGTCTTTGAGTTTTTATTTGGTTTAGTTTGTTTAGCATGCAGCAAAATGAATGACACTTGCCTTTAATGTTTTCCTCTGGCGAATAACATGGGAGAAATGTGTGTGTGTGTGTGTGTGTGTGTGTGTGTGTGTATGAATGTTTGTATATATGTGTGTATACATATTGTGTATATATACACAATGTGTATATATATGTACATATATATATGCACACTCAACTTTCATGTCAATTTAAAGGTATCCACCCTCCTTTTACACTTTGGAGTAGCCTGGAGCCGCCAGCCCTCTATGCAGATATACTCTAGTTAATTTTTTTTTCTATCTTAGAATCTCTTTTATCTTAGGATATTACACTTAAAGAAATCAAACAAGAGTTATGAATATTTTTCCGTAATTCTACATGAATTTGTTTTTCTTTAATTCTATACCCATTTAAAAACAGAAATCCTGGCTGCATCCCTGAAGTCCCAGCTCACCATTCTAAACTGAGGTGCTCTTTTAAAAAAAAAAAAAAAACCACAAGAAAATGTATGTATGTTAGGGTTACTGTTGTTTATGAATAATAAACAAGTTTTCCCTTCCAAATCATGCTGATGGTGCTGACTCTGCTCTGATTGGTTTCATGCTGTTAGTGTTACCTGGGCCTACAGGTGGACACAGATGGGGGTACAGTAACCCCCATTTTACCACTCTCCTCTCTGCTTTGACCTCTACAAAGTGTTTTGCCCAAGAACTGGCCAGCTGTGTCTGGTCGTTCTGCCTCTCATGTTTACACTGTCCTCCTCGGTAAGAAACCACCCCAGAAATTCTTGCCATTGTCTCTGCCTGTGCTGTAGCCGACAGGATGTGATGTTTAGGGCAGAGCATCTGCCTCACAGCTGTCTGCATATATTCTTTTTATTTTTGAGATTTTATTTATTTTTTATGGGTGTTTTGCCTACATGTATTGTCTGTGCATCACAGGCACTGGAAACCCTCAGCCTAGAGTTACAGATGACTGGGAGTCACCATGCCAGTGTGGGGAACCGAACCCGGGTCTGCAGGAAGGGCAGTCAGCGCTGAGCCCCCACGTTGTAACTGGACATGGGCTGTGTTCCAGGCAGGAACTCTGTGCTCTGCTGATGTGCTCTAGTGAGTTTGCAGGACCAACACACTGAGGGCTTCCCAGGGTCACTTCCCTGTGTGGATCATTTTGTCCAATGGTGCCTTCCAACACCCAGGCCCAAAGCTTCTCAGACATCTTTAGACAGGGTCAGATATTCCTGAATCACAGCAGAACTCAGCGTTGTCTCAGAACAGGACACTACCTCCTCCTCTCTGTGTTGTTGTTAAGTAAGTTTTATTTGGATTTAAGTGTAATAAAGCCTTAAGAAAATTCCCTGGTTCATTAAAGTTTTAATACCCTTAGGCCTGGAGGGTGATTTTTTTTTTTTTTTTTTTACTATACAGGGTTTCTTTGCATTGCTCTGACTGTCCGAGAACTCACTCTGTAGTCCAGGCTGGCCTCGAACTCACAGTGATCCAGCTGCCTCCCTGCCTCTGCCTCCTGAGTGCTTGGATTAAAGACCTGCTCCACTGCCGCTTGGCTTATAGGAATGATTTTAATGAATGCTTTACTGTCTTCTAGATTTCTACTGGATGGTAAAGAACTACGAATCAATATGTCATGTGCCATGTTTGTCACCTTAAATCCTGGGTAAATATTAACGAGTCTAATGACAGTATACACAGACGAAATCCCTTTAACCCTCTCTGTGGGTGGGCTTGTCCAGTACCATGTAGCTATCATTCACCCTCCAGAATCTTTTTTTGAACTAATTCTTTGAGAATTTCTTACATTGTATTTAGATGTCATTCACCCCTCACCCTAACTCCTCCCAGATCCATCCCTTATTCTACGCGCAAACAACTTTGTGTCCTCATTCTAAAAAAGAAATCAAATCCAGTTAGTGCTACCCATATACCCTTGGGTGTGGGCTGTCCCTTGGAGCGTGGCCAGCCTCAGGGGCCACACTGTTCAAGCTCTTCCGCTCCCGGCAGCCGTCATTACCAATACCTCCTCCAATAGGGATGGGACTCAGTGCCCTCCTCCCCATCCATCATGTGGTTTCATTTGATGTGATCTTAGCCAGGTTTTAGACATTCATGTTGTCGCAACCATCAGGAGGTCATGTGTCCAACCGCCCTGTTGTGTAGACTTTTTCAAACTTGAAACTATATACTTTCCTCAAAAAAGAATTCTATTGGCTTTCTATGTGACATCTACCTAAAAATTAGTTGAAAAGATGGCCTTTACCTTTTATGTCATGAGCACCCTGTAAAACACTGCATTTTCGTAGTCACCTCTAGAAATCCATGCCTGCTCTTCCATGGTGACCCTTGAGTCTTGGAAGGGGGTGGTGTGATACTGATGTCGTTCAAGGCCGAGGATTCGGCTGTCTCCTGTTGTCTCCAACTTGACCAGTTGTGAGTCTGTGCTCATCACCACCTGGCTTCTCTGCTGAGGGTCAAAATGGGCTTCTCTATAGGCGTAAGGATGAGGCCTTAGAAGTCAGTTTAGTGGTGTGCAGAGTGACCGCGATTGGCTCTCCCTGGGCTGTCACCTGTCCAGCCACAGGATTACTCATCATGGCGCCAAGCATGAGTTCCATCTTGTAGAGCTGACACAGCCCCACAACCGCCTCTCTCTATGAATGGATGTAACATCGCCACCCTGTCCGTGCAGGTGATTACACTTAGTCTCTGACTCTGGGCTAGGTTCATCAGACATTGAACAGTGCTGCCTTGGCCCCAGGAAGCAGAAAGGTCTGAGACAAGGTGAAGCATACAATGAAAGACAAGGCGTATGATAGGCTAGCATAGCATGTGGGTGGGAGGGAAGGTGAGAGGCACCTTGTAAACTGATTTCCATATATGGGTCACACAGAAAGCCAATGGAATTATGTGGGGGCAAAGTAATTGCATTTCACATTTGGAAAAAATGCAGGGCGCGGTTGGATTTTTATTATTGTTGCTGTTTTTCTTCCCTTTAGATATAGAGGTCGAGTTGAGCTCCCAGGGAACTTAAAATCTCTGTTTCGCCCGGTGGCAATGATGGTGCCCCACCACAAAATGATCACTGAAATAATTCTCTTCTCATTTGGCTTCAAATCTTCAAGATCACTATCAGGAAAGCTCGTTAACCTTTACGATTTAGCCAGCAAGCAGCTGTCAAAGCAGGTGAGGAACTGCCTCTCTCCAAATATGTAATAGACAGTATAAAGCTGGTTATGAAAGGTGATGCAAAGACATTTCTGCTATCGGCCAGGAACTGGCAGTACCAGCCGGGCCCACCATAAGATGGGAGCTGCTTTCTTCAACGTGACTGTGTATCCATGGGCCTCGGCCTTTACTCGCAGGTCTGGAGAAAGTGGTGGCATATATGTTACTTCAGGTCACATCTTCTCTCTCTGCTCGTGGATGTTAGCCTCTGGATCCATGTTCTGCAGCTCTGTGCACATCTCAGTGATCTGAAGGACATGTGAAAGCACAGGCGCTCAGCCTGACTCTGTCAGGGCAGAACTGAGCAGACTGCACTGGGAAGCTCAGTTACCAGGGCAGTTGAGTTGAGTCCCACACCTTCCTGAGAATTGCTCTGGGATTTGAGTATGTGTTTCTAACACGAAATGGTTTGGTCAGCGAACCACATTCTCTCCAAAGTCTTCCTTTCCTCTTGTTATTTTCCCGTGCCCCTTCCTAGTGCTCAGACAGTGTAACTGGGACCCCATAATTGTTAACACTTACCACTCTTTCTTTTAAGAAATCGGCTCTCCAGAATTCAGTAGTGCATGCCTTTGGTCCTCAGTACTGGAGAGGCTGAGACAATGGAACATTTGAGTCCAAAAATTCAAGGCCAGGCTGGATAACACAGTAAAACTCTAAAGGGAGGGAGGAATGGAGGCAGGGAAGAAAGGACACGGACATAAGGCAAGCGCTAACTTAGATGAGAAATAAAAGCATTGGAGGCAGAATTGGGGTTTTTAGATTCATACAGATATCTCCTTTTACAAACTAGATGGTTATTAATTTACATATGTGTGTGACTGTCTTAAGTGGTTCTATTTTCCCTTGAGAACTATAGTAACTCAGATATTGAATACTCTATTTTAGGAGCATTATGATTTTGGCATGAAGACCTTGAAGACAGTTTTAATAATGGCAGAAAAGAAGAAACAGGAGTATAAATGGTCAGTGGACATTTGAATTTAGTGCAAGGTTCAGAGAGTTACATAAATAATTTGTAGAATTTTAATTAAGGCAAACAAAAACAGAAGCTACCAGACTACCACACTAAGATGGACTGGCAGGAACTTAGTGGTATCAAAAGAACAAAAATGAACCAGGTCATGGATTCCAGATCCCTAGTGGGGCCTGTTCTTTAGAAGGTCTGCATTCCTGATGTGTAATAAAGCATGCAGAGAAATGTAGGGCCCATCTAGAATAGAAATAATGAGAAAGAGAAAATGGTACCTGCACGAAACTGGTACACACCTCTCTTGTCCGCAATCAATGGACCGTGGCTAGTAACACAATGTCAGTGCTGTGTTAGGCATTGTCAATGTTCTAAAGAAGATTCAGAGTGCATGGGAGGAGTGTGTAGTTTGTGTAGATAAGCAAATACAACACTTTATGTAAGGGACTTGAACATCCACAGACTTCGGTACCTGTGGATGACCCTGGTGCTGACAAGACTGCAAGGAGAAAATCAGATATGAATAACTGAAATTAATAGGACTTCTAACAGAAAATATCATAAAATATCACAAAAGCCAAACATATCCAGTGTTGGTTTATGAAAGGTGATATTAAGAATAGGGAGACTGAGGAGGAGGCTCAGTGGGTATATAGGTGCCTGTTCTTTTTTTTTTTTTTTTGGTTTTTCAAGACAGGGTTTCTCTGTGGTTTTGGAGCCTGTCCTGGAACTAGCTCTTGTAGACCAGGCTGGTCTCGAACTCACAGAGATCTGCCTGCCTCTGCCTCCCAAGTGCTGGGATTAAAGGCGTGCGCCACCACCGCCCAGCATGGGTGCCTGTTCTACAAACACAAGGACCCAAGTTCAAATCCCCGGCACCCACATTAAAGGCTGGCATGGTTGCATGTGTCCATAATACAGGAATAAGCAAAGGGTTTTTTTAGTATTTGTTTTTAGACAACTGATTCTAAAATTCACATGGAAAAATAAAGGTAGTTTTAAAATATTGAAAAACAAGAGAAATTAAAGGGAAATACCTTTCTGAGGATTAAGCTATATTGTAAAACTTCAACAGTTGAAAGTGTGGCACTGATTGTCAATGGGCAAAGTGTTGAAATAATGTAGAAAGTCAGGAGGCAGGGCCGCATGCCTGGGAAATGCAGTATGTCATAAATCCATCACCAAGACCAGAGAGTTCGATGCAGCCACTGCCTGCAGAAACGTCAAGTGGGAGCCATGCTCCACAGCATTTGCCCAGACAGTCGCTAAAACAGTTGAGGGATTTAAAGGTAAACAAACTTCAAGCATAAAACTATCAGAAGGAACGAGTTGTCCCTAATATTCTTGGAGGAGAAAAGACTCTTCCCCCAGTGCTAGAAAGTGAACCATGGGCCTTCTGCTGGTGACTTACTTGTTGCTATGGCAACATACTTGACTAAGGCAACTCAAAGGAGGAAAGTTGGTGTTGACTCAACAATCCATCATGGCAGCAGGAACCCAAAGCAGCTGGTCGCATTGTGTCTGCATCAAGGATGCTCAGTTCACTTTCTTCTCATTCAGTCCAGAACCCCATAGGATGGTATCACCCACATTTGGGCGGAACAAAGTTAACACAGTCTAGAAACTCCCAGCCGTGAGAAGGCATTTGTCTCCACGCTCATTCTGTATCCAATTGTGTTGATAATCAACACTGACTACCACAGGCTTTGTATGGCGCTTAAAACCAAAACTCAAAATCTAGAATCTACAGGGGCTAGAGAGATAGCTCAGCAGTTAAGACCACTGGCTGCTCTTCCAAAGGAGCTGGGTTCAATTCCCAGCACCCATGTGGCAGGTAGCTCACAACTATCTGTAACAAGTTTTACTCTGGCCTCTGTGCATGCTGCATGCAGGTGATACATCTTTATGTGTAGGCATGTAGGCCAAACACCCACACACATTAAAAAAAAAAAAACAACTAGAATCAACAAAAAAAAAAAAAACCAAAAGAACATTTTTAACAGATACGGATCTGCTTATCTCAAAAATATTCAAAGGTGATCATATAGGAATAAGTTAGAAAAAACTTTTATGGATTTGAAAAACAACAAAGTATGGTGCACAATATCTGCACGTCATGCTGCACACAGCAATGGTGGCATCCAGACAGGGCTGGCGTAGGATAAACTCCTCTTAAAAATAAGAGCATAGTTTAAGTCAAGTCAAGAAAGTTAGGCCAACTTCAGAAAGATAAATATCATATTTTCTTTCATTTGTAGTTCCTAGATTTCATATAGATATATAAAATCACATAAGAGTATATATGATATCAAAGTAGACATAAAACTGTAGATGAGCAAAGGGAACTAATAGGAAGGGGAAAGGGATGTCAAAGGGATGATCTCAATGTGTATTATACAGTATATGTATATACATGTATATATCTAATATAGTGATTATATGTATATTATATACTCATGTAAACTTTTCTTGTGAAACACAGTTCTATGTATACTAAACACACACAACAAAAAACATTTTAATGAAGAAAAGGGAAAGTTGAAAATTCCTTTATTTGTTAAAGACATTGAATATGCAATTAGTATCTTCCCTAAATGAAAATGAAGAATCATAACATTTTTTTACCATCAAGGAAAAACTCATTCTTTTCCCATGTTAAAAAGCATCCAGCAATCCTCGGGATTAAGCAGTGAGTTCATCCCTGGGGAGATGTAGCTTTTTCTGCCCACAAGAGCTCCCTCTCTTGCATTCCTTAGGTGAGATTCCAAAACTGCTTTCATTTAGCAAACAAGGGTCGCAGAGGGTCTGGGGACAGAGAGGGCGCTGCAGACACGAGGCATGTTTGTTTTCTCCAGCGACTGCGGCAAGAGCCTTTCAGAAGCAGACGAATCTCTGATCGTTATCGAGGCAATCCAAGAAGCTAGCTTATCAAAGTTCCTTCCCGAAGACGCCCCACCTTTTGAAAAGATCATGGAAGATACTTTCCCTGGAATAACGGTTTCAAAAGTCTGTCACCTTGCCTTGGAGGTAACACAGCTATGGCAAGCACTGCCGGGTCCCTCTCAGGTTGATGTGGCTTTAAATACAGTGGCTCCTTCTGAAATACTCTACTCATGTCAAGGACGTCACAGGATTAGGGGCAAAGCACTTGCTGACATGTTTTTACCAGGGGAGGGGAAGGGACTTTAAGCACACGGTGACTAGTGAATGGAAAGAACGAACAGACAGTGGGGTTGCTGTATGCTGAGTTCTCCTTCCTAAGTGCCAATGTGGGTTTTGGGTTTCCCTGTAATAGCACGGTGCTTATTCCCTATTATGAGGGGCATTTAACTGTTTGGTAAGTAAGGGTCTACAGTATTTGGAGTGTATCCACAAGGCTTCCCAAGCTGCTCCCCTAAGAGCAAAGCCAGTGTTTAATTGCCATTACCTTATGTACAAAAACAAAATTATTATGGACAGAACCTGGCTTCCTTCATCAGGCGGCCGGGTCATCCAGCATATTCTGCCTTCACCTGCCCCTGTTCTCCTGTTCTCTTCTGCTTCTGCTGCTTCCTGTCTCCCAGCTGTCCAGACTTTCAAAACAGATTGATTGCTCTGTCTTAGACCTGACTTGAGGGGTGTTTTTTCTTCTTAGATATTTCAGTAAGAACAATAGAGCTGCTTTTTACATATCAGCAGTATATGCAATTAACTTGATTGGCAATCACGGGTTACATACTATTTTTTAGCACATCTGAAGTATGTAGCAAACATGACCAGGGATACTGCAAGAAGGCTCACAAGAATTCCTCTTGAGACCCATTCAGAGTAGATGTATGATCATAACTGTTCTGTTATGGTCTGAAAATAAGAGAATTTTAACTCTGGTTCTCCTTAGAACAGCCTTCTCCAGCTAGACAGACATAGGCATTCTATCACGTTTCAGACTGGGTTGGTGCGGAATTGAACAAAGCACTATTTTGATTTTTTCAATTTCATGTTTTTGCGATTGATTTTCCTGTAACATGTTCTCCTGATGTATGCAGTCTGGTCTGACATGTTGCTTTCTTAACTAACTAGCCTCTGCTTCCAGATTCCTCACAATCTCGTCTTACGTTTGAATTTTTTTTTTCTGTCTTCTTCTGGGACTTACATTTTTTTGAGAAAGATTTTTTGAAATTCAAAATTAGCTTTCTTTTTTACTAATGGAAATTTGTAAGACTAGACTTTCCTCTTCTTGATTTTTTTCTTGCCTCACCGATAGTACCACAGTGAGCCGCCATGTCCAGCCTGCTCGCCCCGTGTCTGTAGGGCTGTGTTCCTGTGGACTCTCAAATCTGAAGTAACCATAGTGTGTATAAAGGTGTTCAATAAATATGTCTCTACTGTATAAAACATTTACTTTAAAAAAGAATTGTACTTTATTGTATTTTACGTCTTCACTTGTGGTCTCTGTGCTGATTTATTTAAAAAAAAAATCTCCCTAGGCCTAGACATTAGCTTTCCTATATAGAAAGACATCAATAAAATAATTTATTATTTTAAAAAAAGACTAGACTTTCCTCTAAGCAAATGCTTGTCCTGTGTCTGTGGAGGGGATGGAATGGTTTGGGTCCCTTATTCTGTCAGTGTGAGAACATCCACTGCTTTCTGTACTGTAGAGCACCCTGCATCCCTGGAGTGAATCTCCGCGGGTCACAGTGAAACCTCTTTTGAATGTGCTGTTGGATTTCATTCGCTAGAATTTTGCAACCCTATCCCTCAAGGATACTGATCTTTATTATTCCTTTATTGTGGTGGTTTGGATAGCAAAATAGTGCCAGCCCCAAACAATGAATTTAAAAGATTTCTTTCCCTTCATATCTTTAAAAGAGAGTTCAAGAAGAAATCTTTAAACATTTGTGGAGCCATTTGGTTCTGGGATTTTCTTTAATGGGAAATGTTTTATTATTGATCCAATCTCATCCTTTATTTATATGGGCTTCCTCAGGCATCGAATTTTTCACTGGTCAGTCTCAGTAAGTTGTATATGTTCAGAAATTTGTTCATTTCTTCTGGGGTTTTTTTTTTTGGCAAGCAATAGTTCATAATTTTATCTAATAATGCTTTTTATGGTTGTGTTATCTATCATAATGTCTCCTTTATGGCTCTAGTTTTATTTACATGTCTCTTCTCACTTCTTTGTCTAGTTAAAGATTTTTTTTAATTTTATATTTTTAAAAAAAAACTTCAAAGGCTCAATTGGTAAAATGCTTGCCTTGTAAGCCTGACGAGCTGGGTCTGAACCTTTGCAAGTCACATAAAAAGCTGGGCATGGCAGCGCACGTTTAAAACCCACCGCTGGAGAAGTGGACACAGGTCCTGAGAGTCACTGGCCAGTCAGAACCTACTTAGTGAGCTCCAGGGTCTCCAGGAGAGACCCTGTCTCAAAGGAGGTGGACAACATTTCTGAGGATGACCCCAAGGTTGTCTTCTGCTGACCATATGCATCTGCATGCATAAGCACATCCATCGTTCCACGTGTGCCCGTGTATTAACACTGATTTAAAGCTTCTTTCATGTATCGTTTGTATTTTTAATCTTTATTTGCTTATTTCTGCACTTACTCAATATTTTTCCTTACAGATAACTTGGAATTTGGGTTACTCTAGTTTTTTCTTGCTTGCTTGTTTGTTTGCTAATTCCTCAAGGTACAATATTAGGTTACTTATTTGAAACCCTCTCTTGAAGTTAGATTTTTATGTGTCTAGGTGTTTTTGCCTACATGCATGTCTATGCAGCATGTCATGCATGGTACTTGCAGAAGAAGGTGTCAGATCCCCTGGAACTGGAGTTAATGGACAGTTGTGAGCCACCTTGTAGGTGCTGTGACTCAAACCTAAGTCCTCTGCAAGAGCAGGCAGTGCTCTTAACCACTGAGCCATCTCTCCAGCCCCAAAGTCTTTGTTTCTGGTGGTGGCTGATTCTTCCTATAAACCTCTCTACATTCTGCTTTTGCTCTAATTGCGGCATTTGGGGTATACTGTGTTGCCGTTATCATTTGTCTAAATAAAGTTTAGAATTTCAGGGCTGCTAAAATGGTTCCGCAGTGAGGTGTTTGCAGTCAAGCCTGCCAGCTTGAGTTTGGTGTCCAGATCCTACAGTGAAAGGAGGGAACTGACTCCTGACGGTTGTCTTCACACGTGAATGCACGCGCCCTTGCGTGCACACCCACGCAGTCCCAGGGGCATGCATACAACCCCGAGGTTTTTCTGGACCGTGTTGTTTCGCATCTGTTTAGTATCCCAAGTGTCTATTGTGGCTGCTTTCTGATTTTATGCTGTTGTGGTCAAAATGAGACTTGATGTGATCTCAGTTTTTATTTGTTGATGCTTGTTTTTGTGACCAACTATACGCTGTATATGGAGGGTTTTCCATGTGCCACTAAGGAGACTATGTATCTGTAGCTGCTGGATGGAGTAGTCTATGATTGTCTGCTGGGACCTTTGGTCCAGGGTACGGTTTAGCTCTGACATTTCTTTGTTAGCTTCGTCTGGGTTTGCCACTTAACGCTGACAGTAAAAGATTAAGCGTTCTGCTGTGCTGTGTTGGAGTGTGTGTGCCTCTCCCTTCAATCTATCAGTATTTACCCTACAGCACTAGGGACAGCATATTTGGGTGCCAACATCTTTAGGCCTGTTGTATCACCTTGTCGAATTGACCTTTAAGCACTGCCTGGGAACTGCCTTTTCTCCTCTGTGCAGTTGTCTACGCTGTCTCCTTTGTCTGCTTTGTTCTGTCTCATTGTAGGGATGCAAGGAATGGGGAGCAGACAGGAGATGACGTACAAGTCCTATCTACCTAGACACAAACCTTCCTGTGGAAGGAAACCTGGTTCTCCAGGGGTTTTGTTTTGTTCTGTTTTGGGCTGTTTTGGACTTACAGTCCCTTTGGCTTTATTTATTGCCCTTCCTATGTCCCACCTCACTCCCTCCTAAATTGATGGCCTCTTTTTCTTTTATTATTATTGTTAAAAACATGTGCACTGTTGTATAAACACAGCATGCAGAATCCATTTTTGTTGTTTTGTGCATATGATTTTGTGTATTAATAAATCTGAAAGTGATGATTCTTAGTCTGAGGGGAGGGTTTATGAATTTGTTCAAAGGTCTGTGAATACAAAATTTTCTATGTATTGCATATTTCTGGTGAGAAAAAATAGTGGTTTTCATTATTCTCAAGGACAGAACTTGGTGAGCTAAAAAAAAATGAAGAATACTCTTAACAACTCTAGTAATTAATAAATAGCTAAGGGGTTCTGAAGGATTACAATTGAAGGGTTTGGGCTGTGGGTGTGGCACAGTACATCATTAGGCTGCTTTGTACAAGGGCCTGGGTTTTGTCCCCAAGACTGCAATAAATAGATAGAAGGCTGGATGGGTGGCTGGATAGTCAAGTTATAATACACTTTAATACATTTATATTCTTTCAGAAAGCAATATCTATTGCAACAGAACAATTAAACTTTCAACATTGGCCTCCTCAGAAAGAGAAGATCATACAGTTGTACCATCAGCTCCAGGTGAGTACAGAAAGGGACGGCAGCAGGTCTTAGGGAACTTTCAGTCAGTAAAGTCAAACGTGAACACACAGAACAATCAAGAGGGGTTATGGTACTTTAAGAACCTTGAGTTTAGTGCACACAGCCCTAGTCTTAAAAGAATACTGGCATCAAAAAAAACTAAACTTTGTTTCTGAAGGAGACTTTTAAATACATATTTTGGTTACCAAATTTGTGCTTGATGGGGCGTAGTTCGGTGGTAGAGTGCATATTTAGCATACACGAGACTCTGCAGTCAATCCCCATCATTCTCACCCCAAAGCCTGCCTAACATCCTTGAAAACATGAGCTGCTGATGTCTCTGCTCCAACAGTATGTGGGAATATCAGGGACCCACAAAAATGACCCCCAAGGTCATCCACTTCTCGTTTATATACTGTCTTAGCTCCTGGTGAATTTCCCCAAGAATGCAATGCATGTTGACCACTAATTAATCTTGCTTATAGGACCTATAACCTAAATATATTTGTTTTACCTCATTGTTTCAGTTAGAGTTTCTACTGCTGTGATGAGACACTGTGACCATGGCAACTCTTATAAAGGAAAACATTTAATTGGGCAGCTTACAGTTTCAGAGATTTAGTCCATTATCACCATGGGGGACATGACAGTGTGCAGGCAGACATGGTGCTGGAGAAGGAAGGGAGAGTAAAGAAGGAACTATATCTTGACCCTGAAGGCAACAGGAAGTGGTGTGAGTGTCACACTGAGTGTAGCTTGAGCAGAGGATACCTCAAAGTCTGCCCCCACAGTGACAATTTCTCAAGAAAGTCCATACCTACTTCAAAAAACATACCTCCTAATAGTTCCACTTCCCATGAGTTTATGGGGGCCAATTACATTCAAACTACTATATTCAACTCCCTGGCCTCCATAAGCTTGTAACAATGTCATAATGCAAAATGCATTTAGTTCAACTTCAGAAGGCCCCATAGTCTTTAACAGTCTGAGTAATATTTTAACACTCAAAGTTCAAAGCTTCTTCTGGGATTCATGCAATCTCTTAACCATAATTCCCTATAAAATAAAAATTAAAAAAACAGATTACATGCTCCTAACATATAATAGCACAGGATATACATTACCATTCCAAAACAAAATCATACCTCCTAATAGTGCCAGTCCCTGTGAGTTTATGGGGGCCAATTACATTCAAACTACCATACTCATTTAGGACTTAAGGCTTTCATCATCAGATCACTGAACAGCAGAGCAAGACCACCCTAAACATCAGTCCCAGCTGTGAATGCCCATCTAACATTCTAGGTCCAAACAGCTGCACTGGCCCCACAGCCCACCTGAGTCCACCTTAGCGCACCAGGTGGGATCCTTCTGAGTATCTGTATTGACGCCCCCCACTTGATATTTGAACCATCAATCCAGGCGTGCACAGACTTTTACGTCACCCCGTAAGGAGGGGGTAGTGCAAGTCAGTGAGCTGATGTCCATCTGAATGCTACTCTCAAGGAAAGCTGGATGGTTCTTAGGAGGGAGACATGATCATTCCTGGGCCTGGCTTTTACCCAAGAAATAAAGATATAGAGGGGAACAAAGTTTGTTCTTGGAAAGTGGGGCCTTTTGTTAGTTTTAGGGGAGGGTTTGTTTGCATGTTTTTCACAGATGTAATCTTTCTTCAATGTGAACCATGTCAAGTTCAAGATAAGGACTGATGAAGTTGGCAGTGCTACAGTGCCAGTTCTCATTCAGTTCTAACAAACCTACTGCTTGTGTTTGGAATGACATCATGGTTTTGCTGTGTGTCAGTAGATGGCGCTCATCTGCCCCAGGAGTGACTGGGAATGGGGAGTGAGCATACACATGAGCAATTTGTTTGCTTTTTCTTTTCTGTGTTTGTGTGGTGCTAGGGATTGAACTGAGGAGTCTAGGCAAGCATCTTAGCACAGACTCTACCCCCTGCCCTTTTTTTTCTGCTTATGAGGCCACTAATTACAGCATGGGAGCCCCTCCCCCAAATACCAGAACTAGAATCAATAAAACTGTAAGAGGTGAATGAAAAAGATGCATATCCTACTCTGAGAAATTGGTCCATAAAAGAAGCATCGCGTTTGGAAAAGAAGCAAATGTGAGGTTATACTGAGCTGAGAAGCTTATGAGATGGGGATGGAAATGTTCACTGAAGCAGGCACTGAGAAAGTATATCCATTGGAGAGCCATGAGAACCTGGGTCTTGCTTCAGGCCGAACTGGTGAGACTCAAAGGAACAGTGAAGAAGAGCAAGCAACGCGAATGCCTGGGGATGTTTAGCGTGGAAAGATAAATAAAAAATGAAGAGAAAAATCATTGTGACAGAGCCTAGTTCAGAAAGTCTCAAGGAGCGGGGAGGAGGAGATCAGGAGGAAGGATTCAGCACCAAGAATTAACAGTATTCTTTGATTAGGATATTTCTTCTCACTTCAGCCGTAAGCAATACAATAAAGTGGAGGGCCAGGCAACCGTGGACTGAAGAGTCGTAGGAAGGAAGAGGGCATGGGAACAGGCAGAGGTGTGTTATAGAGACACATTCAATCGCTCCCCAGCACACTAATCTGAATTTCATTTTAGGCTTGTGTCGGTGTGATACTAGTGGGCCCAACAGGTGGAGGGAAGACGACCGCCAGGAGGATTTTAGAAAAAGCATTAATAATCCTTCCTGTGGCAGCTAATTTATCACTTAAAGAAAGGCAATCTGATTCAAAGGTAAACCTTCTAAATAAAACATTTTCCATCTCTGCATAGCTTATACTTCGGTACACATATCTATTCTTTCTACATTTGTATATTAAGTACTTGTTAGATTTGTTACTAGAAGTTTTGTACTGAGAAACCATTGCAGTGAGAACATTGACATTTGGATAGCACACTGGTGATGAGGAGTGTAAAGCAGCATGATTGATTTGTATAGTTTGTATTCAGCTACTTAACTGAAGTCCCAATTCATTCCTGAGTATTAAGTCAATCATCTTCAAATAAAATTAATTATACCCCATTTCCAATATTTAAGTAATTTTTCTTTTGTTATTAAATTGATTACCCATCCAAGAGTATGTCAACTATAGTTTTTATTATTGATTTAACCTGAATATGCATTTAGTTTTTCAATATGATATTACATTTATCTCTAATAATTTACTTTTTCTAGAAACTTTTTTCTAGAAATTTTTTAGCATATTTGTAAGTTTCTGTTCCCCAAAACGTTGGATTTTTGATGATTGGAATGTATATAATGATTGTTAGGGAACTGGAGAGACGGTTCAGCAGTTTAGGGCTGACTATTCTTTCAAAGGGCCAGTGCACAGTTTTCAGCACCCACATGGCAGCTCACAGCTGTCTGTAACTCCTATTCCAGACAATCTGTTACCCTCTCCCAAGGTCTCTGTACAGACACAGCCATGTACACAGTATAGACATACACGCAGACAAAGCTCCCATGCACATAAAATTTAATTAAATTTGAAAACTAAAATGATCGTTAGTCTTTATTTTGTCTGGTTGATGTAATATGCTGTGTTTTGATAGATTTATTACTATTAAATAAATATTAGATGTCTGTGAATTCTCAGGAAGTCCCTTATGTTTGTTTTCAGAAGGTTGCTTGGTTGGTTGGCTGGTTGGTTTCTTTGAGATAGAATTTCTCTGTATAGTCCAAACTATCCTGGAACTAACTCTGTAGACCAGGCTGGTCTTGAACTCAGAGATCCACCTGCCTCTGCCTCCTGTGTGCTGTAATTAAAGGTGTGCACTACTACCACCCAGTTCACATTCTAATGCAATATAAAATAAAATGCTCCCCTAAACCATGTGAACTTTAATTATTTAAAGATTTTATTTTATTGTTGATAGTATACTCCACATCTTAGAAAGTCAGCACCACAGTTATATGCATATTTTTCTGTTAATATGAAATCTTCTCTTCAGAGCCATTCGAGTTGTAGTTTCTAACTCATTTTTAATCATTTTTAATAAACTCATCTTCTAAACAGATCTCACTGAGTTCTTAAGCAATAATTGCCATCAAAGAGCAGTGAATTATTGTACACTAAGACCAAGTGGGAGTCACTTCAGAAATACAAGATAGTCCAACATTAAACCAGTTTAGTACAGGAGATAATAGAACAAGAGGAAGAAGCCGCGTGGTCACGTCAAGTCACAGAAAAGGAATGTGGTGGCTTTTTACTTCCCTTTGTAATTAGAAGAAAAGAATTCAGAAAACCAGAAATAGACAGGAAACTCCTCAACCCGATAGGGGAGTTTATGGAATAGCCACAGTTCCCTCACACCTGTGTGGTGACGGCTGGAAGCCTTTCCTCCAGCCAGGAGTGAGATAGACCATTTCCACCCCTATTGCTAACATTGCACCAGAAGTCTCAGTCCAGTGGTTTGACGTGGACAAGTCCTGTAAAGACGACTTAACAGGCAGCTCATCAAGAAGTAAAACACAAAATTTGCTGGCAGAAAGGCTCAGACAGTAAAGTTGTTTACCACCAAGCCTAATGACCCAGTTCAGTCCCCAGGACCCACAAGATGAAAGGAGAGAAGTCAGACTTGCACAGCTGTTCTCTGATCTTGTATGTGTGTGTGCACACATACACACACACTATAAGTATAGTTAAAAAGTTAAACAAATACAGGATAGGGTTGTTAGATTGGTGTTTGTGAATGTTTTAAAGGGGTAGGATTAAATTGGGATATACAGTTTCAGGTGAAATGTAAACATAGAAGCTGTGATTTAAAGCCAGGTGGTGGTGGTTCAGGGCTTTAAGCCCAGCACTTGGGAGGCAGAGTCAGGCCGATCTCTGAGTATGAGGCCAGCCTGGTCTACAGATGAGTTCCAGGACAACTAGGGATACACAGAGGAAAAAAAATCTGTCTTGAAAAATCAAAAACAAAATGAAGTTGTGTATGTCCTATCTATTACTGAAAGTGAATTGCTGTCTCAAGTAACAATATAGACCCGTGAATATTCACATATTCTGGGTCTCTGTTCTTTGGGGTGTATATGTTATATCGCCTTAAATTTATCCTTCCATGAATATACAGTATTTTTTCCTCTTTAATGAACTTATTACACAAAGTATATTGTTATAGTGGCTAAGTATTCTTTTGGTTACCATATATGAAATATTTACCCTCTTTTCACTTCTGAAATAATTATTTGAAGACAAGTTTGCTTTATTTTTAAATGACTTGAATTCTTATCTTTAGTGTTAAAATGAGCCTTTTGCATGCAGTATATGTTTAGAGCATATCTTAGCCTTTTATCCACTATACTGTTCTTTTCCTTTTAAGTAGTAAATTTAATCCATTTACATTTAATTCAATGGCTCAGCACTTGTGTTGTTGTTTTCTGCTGTCTCCTATGTCTTATACCTTTTTGTTCCTCAGTCTACTACTTTTTACCTAGTTTTGATTTTTCCTAGTGTATCATTTCAATCTCCTTTTCATCTTCTTTTCTGTATTTTTTTCAGTTTTTCCTCAGTGATTATATTAGACTTATATTGATATCTACTGTAAGCTACATCATGTCCCCTAAAATTTATGTGTTTAATCCCTGACTTACAATGCCTCCGACTCCAACTGTATTTAGAGAGAAGTTCTTTACAGAGTTGACGGTAGAACGTGGCTCTGAGGGAAGAGGCCCTAACCAGATACAATTGGTGTCCAGCCTCTAGAATTATGAAGAAAATCAGTTTAAGGCTCCTAGGCTGAAGCCCTAGTAAATTAGTATACCATACTAAGTACCAATTAATGTGGATTGAGTGTGTCTTAGCTTCAATAGCATGGTTAGTTCTGGTCCTACCCTCTGAGCTACACCCTGCTGTGTACAGGCATCTTGTAAGTGATTCTCACAGCTCCTCTGCGTGTACAGCTGGGGTTTTTACTGTCTTATTTCCCAGAGATTCCCATCACTTTCCTATCTGTACCCATAATCTCTGGCCTTGACTTATGTGAGCTGTGTTTCCCAACAACATGTCTTTCCTGTTAAAATCTGAGTGAGATGAGACAGAGGACAATTCTCTAGGTGGAGCCCAAGCAAGTTAAAACTTTGTGTATAAGATCCAAGTAGACTAAGAGAACACTCTGCTCCCTGTCTTGCTATCCTCCACCCTGGCTTCCAACAAACCACATCCCAATCCAAGTATATTTTCTGCAATGGAGTACAGTGAGGGCCTTTTCTTGAAGGAGCTACTTGTACTGTTTAGATTGTTTTAATGGTTTTTATAGTATGCCTTACTTAAACAAGACATGTCCATTTTTACTGTTTCTTGTTCATTACTACCTTTGTAGAAACTTGTTTGATGTAAAAGATTTTGCCTAAAACCTGTTGGCAACAAAAGTAAGTAATTGTGCTACTATAGCTAATTTTTCTTAAGACAATGCTGAATTTCTCACCTCCTGCCCCCAGCTTGTAGGAAAAAAAGGAAAAGTTGATGTTTGTGTTTTGAATCCAAAATGTATCACCCTTAGTGAACTATATGGACAGTTGAACATTAATACCATGGAATGGAGTGATGGGTTATTGTCAGCAGCAGTTCGAAATTTTGTGCACATTAGCACTGCAGAATACTCCAAGAACGACAGTGATCTTAGACTAATGTCAAGAATTACAGATTTATCTAATGTAAGTTTGGTGTGGAATTTAGTATTTTGCCTTGAGTGATACAGACAGTTGCACAGTTCAAGCTATTTTATTAAAACATCATTAGCTACCTATTAATATAAAAGGAGAAAGTATTATGAAAAGTTATATTATTAAAGTAGGCAGTACACTGTTAAGTATTTTGATGCTTTTTGTTTTGTTTTGGGTTTGGTGGGTTTTTTTTTTTTTTTTGGATTTTTGAGACAGTGTTACTCTTGAGTTTCCAGATGGTCAGTAAACCATAGAATGAAGGTGGAGAGAACTGTGTTGAAAGGAGTACAAAGGGAAGTAAACCTCAATAGAGAACAACCTGGTGGTTTAAGTATCACTAGTGAACCTTAAAAATTGAAGTAATGATAGTTTGGTTTTAAAAAATTAATAAACTATTTGATTCAAAATTTGTTAAATGGTAAATATAAGTGGCAAATAATGAAAAGTTTTGTTCTTGTAACTAATAAGTAAGATTATTGGTAATTTTCAGTAGGTAAGTTATATTAGCAAAAGGTGATATTTGAAACCAAAGAGATTAGCAAAGATAGAAAATAATAGTCTGCATTTGCTAGCTCATAAAGTAATATACAAATACAATTTAGGACAATTTTGAGAATACAACCAGACCTCAGTCTTCTTGAACTTCATCTCTGCAAATTTACCCCAAAATAGATCCAAACTATTTGGAAATGAAATGGTATCTGTGAGGAGTGTATACAGACTTTTCCTTGTTTTCTCAGCTATCTAACATATAGACTTTAACCTGTGTTAGATTGAGTAATCCAGACACAAAGATGTGTGTAGGTTGTGTGTAAAAGCTATACCATTTTACAGAGGGTACCTAAGCACTCATAGTTTTGTATTTTCTGGGGCTTCCTAGAAACAGTCTTCCCTATAGATACCAAGGAATAACAGAACATGTTGAGATTTCTACTTAAACATTTCTTTAATTTCAAAATCAACTCCTAGTCACTTAAAGAGATAGTTTTATTAAGCTGATGCCATTATTTTATATTGGTAAAAAGATGCTTTCTATATAAAAAAAAATTGAGTTATCTGTTTACCATATGAACTACTTATATTGTCTCAAGTTCATGAAATACATTTAGAAATATATTCTCTATGGAGTCATTCTTTCAGTTTTATTATAAAGGTATGCTAAATTTTATCAAATGTCTTTTTGTATCTATTGAGATGCTTATACATGTCTGTTTTGCTTTTTGATAACATGTATGAGTTTGTATATATGTATAACATGATTATGCATTTGATTTGTATGTGTTAAGCCATATTGCATCCTTGGGATATATTCCACTTGATCATAGCTAAATCCTTTATGTATAATATTCTGTTTGAGTTGCTCATATTTTGACTAAGAATTTTGCATTTGTTTTTATGAAGGTCTTTGGCCCCTTGCTTTTTGTTTCATAGTGTTCTTTTCAGTTTGGTCTCATGGAATGAGTCAGAAGAATTCCTTTCTCTTAGATCTTTTTAGCATACGTAAGGAGAATTAGTATTCAATCTTCTCTTCAGTAGTGAAGCTATTTGGTCCTGGACTTTTGTTTGAGGAGGAAACTTTTTGTTATTGATTCAGTCTCAATGACCTTTATTGGTCTTTCAGAGGTTTTTCTTTCTCCTTGGTTCAGTCTTGGTGAGGTGTATGTGTCTGGGATTTTGTCCATTTATTTTGTTTTTAGATATATTGGCATTTCATTTTAAATTTTTATTAATCCTTAATATTTCTGTGGTATCTGTTATAATGTCTCAGTTCTCGTCTCTAATTTCATGTAAATCTTCTCCTTAATCCAGCTGGTTTGTTGCTTTTAATTATGTCTTATGTGGGGCAAAACTACGATTAAATTCAGGGTCCTGTGCATAGTCAACAAGATTTCTACTACCAAGACCCACATCTACACTGTTCCCCTTTTCTGATACAGGATCTCCCTAATTTTCCAGGCTGGCCTCAAACTTGCTTGTGTAACCAGGCAGCCTCAAGCTTTTAATCCTTCTCTCCTAGCGTCCTAAGTAGCCAGGCTGACATGTAACTAGAGGTTTTTCTCCCATCTACTAGTCCCCAATTAACCACTCTGAGGCTTGATATTAATTATAAGCTATTTTGCCTATTAGCTCAGGCTTATTATTAACTAGCTCTTACAACTTAAATCAAACCATTTCTATTAGTCTATATTTTACCATGAGACTTGTAACTTGTTACCTCACATCTTGCTTCTCCAGAAGCTGCTAGCATCCTGACTCTGCCTTCTTTCTCCCTCTGGCTTTCCTTGGATTTCTGGCCTGGCTCTATTCTGCCTGGCTATTGACCAAATCAGCTTCTTTATTAATCAATGCTAATAAAACATATTCACAGCATGCAAAAGAGCATCCCACATCAATGACAGACCTCTGCTCAGTCATTCTGTTGCTCTTAGAGTTGCACTAGGCATAGTGTTGTACACTGTTAATCCCAATACCTGGGAAGGCAAAGATGGGCAGGTCTCTATGAATTCAGGTAGCATTATCTAGAAACACATGAAGTTATAAGCAGGAGAAATTCTATCTTAAAAAGAAAAAAACTGTTAAGTTCCATATATGCATACACTTTGCAAGGGTTTTGTTGTTACAGATATTGCATTGTGATCATAAACACGATGATTTATTTTTGCAATTTGGGACTTGATCTATAAGCGATCTCCTCAGAAAGGTGTTCTTCATGCCAATAGGAAATGTGAATTCCTGTAGCTGTTGAGTAGGCTGCTTTGTACCTCATGTAGTAGGTCCAGTTGGTGAAGTTCATCTGTGCTGTTTCTTTTCTGATTCTGTACCTGGATGATCTGACATTGGTGAAAGTAGAATGTTAAAGTCCCTTGCTACTAGAATCATTCAGCCTTATGTCTATTAGTATTTGTTCTGTCTATCTGATCCTCTGACACTGGGTTTTCATATGTTTACAGTTACTTACTAAATTCACCCCCTCTTTGCTTTGTATTTACCATGAGTTTTACAAAAACATTTAAATTATAAAAGCCTATATTAAAATTATAGTGACTTGACATTGATGATTAAGACATGCTAGTACAATGCTACATCCTGATTATTCATTGTATAATTTAGATTTTCCAAGTTGGTGTCTCCACGGCAGCAGATATCGATAACAATGTTTTCATGAAGGAAGTAGAAAAAGATGTTCAAACTTCAGAAACTTATAGTAAGTGTTGTTATTAAATTTAGTATGTTGTTGATATAGAAAAGAAATTTTGAGCCATTGTGAACTGCATATGATCTTATATTTCTGACTAGTAATGTTCTTATTGCACAATTTACTTCTTTCTCATGTTCTTGCCTAAAATTTCTAATCTCACAACAACAGTTTTGCAATGTGTATGTATCTTATTATGAGCTTAAGTAGCCTTTCAGTTTAAAAATAATTAGGACTAAAGGGTATTGATGTAGAAGTAATGATATGAGAAGCACAGTGGCACCTCCTGTCCCTAAACAGCAACGCCATCTGTGCATTACTGCTAAGTCACACAGTCCCATCAGATCCATCACCAATGCCCAGAGTGGGTGTAAATATAGCTCCTGCTCCATGGGAGCTGCCACTCAACTGGAAGAGCCTCAGCCTCCTTTTCCTACCCCAGATAGCCTCAAGGCAACTCATCTACCTCAGTATGTTTGAGGTCCACACTCTAGAAGGGACGTTTCCTGCTTCATCTACTTTCCTAGAGTTTGGGATAACATTCCTCAGAGGTATTAGGATAATGGATAGGATAGATATTTCAAGCAGAGCTTCTCAGCAGTAGCTATTTGGTTTCTACCTCTGCTCTCTGGGTCATCAAGGATGCTGAATGTCTTCAGGGTGCTTAACTGTTTTCTGTCTGTGTGATCACGTCCCTTATCCTGGTCTTCAGGGTGCTTAGCTGTTTTCTCTCTGTGTAATCACCTCCCTTATCCTGGCTGAGAGACTTTCTAAAATCATTGAGCCATAGCATATGGCACTGTCTTCTGAATGTGTGCATCTTCTTCCCCAAGGTTTGTACACTAAAACCCTAACCCTCAAGCTAATGATTTTGAAAGGTCTTGAGGGCTGTGCCCTTGTGTGGGGGATTAGTGTCCTATACAAGATGCACTCTGCCCTTACTGATAGAATTAGTGTCCTTGTAAAAGAGACTCAAAAAAAAAAAAGTCTTTCTGTCATGTGACTGTAGATGGAGCTGCGGGCCACTTCCCACCACTCAGCTCCCGGCCACCAGCTAGCTTTACCCAAAATAATTACACGAAAACTGTATTCTTTTAAACACTGCTTGGCCCATTATCTCTATCCTCTTACTGACTAGCTCTCATATCTTTATTAACCCATTTCTAATAATCTGTGTAGCACCACGAGGTGGTGGCTTACCAGGAAGATTCTTAACCTGCCTCCATCCCGGAGAGAAGAGCTATGGTGTCTGCCTCACTTCACTTCTTCCCAGCATTCTCTTCTGTCTACTCCACCTATCTAAGCTGCTGTCCTATCAAAGGCCAAGCAGTTTCTTATTAATTAACGAATGAAAGCAACAGATAGACAGATGACCCACCTACATCATGTGACCACACAGCAAGAGGAAGTTTCCTTTCTTCGAACCAGGAAACTGTCTCTTATCAGATGATCTGCCAGCACCTACATCTCAGCTCTCCAAGTTCAGAGCTGTGATGGACTTATGGATACCGTTTACACACTGTGTAAACACTGTGACACCAGTCACAGGCTATGTGTTCCAGCAGCTCAGAGAGAAGAGGATGGTGTGGGAAAGGGGTGTTACAGCAGAGAGAGTAAGATGAGACTGCAGAGAGACTATGACAGGGTGGGAAAGAGGGTGACTGGGTTCTGAATGAGATAGAATTTAAGTTTTCTACTTGATTCTTTGATTTTTTTTCCTTTGAAAAGGAACAGCATACCTAAAAACTACTCCTGAACAGAAGATGCAAATTCACAAATCATATTATTATGAAAATATATGGAACCATTTGTTTTTCTCCTATCCAAATTTTAAGGATTAATTGTGCATTTAAACAGTCTAAGAACAGCTAGAAAATGCTTAAAGCAATTTCAAATATATAATGTATTTGTTGATTTGAATGAATACTGGAAAGTTAAAAATAGCCTCTTTTATAAAGCATTAATCCCATTTGTGAAAGTCAAGCACATCCAGCACACACTCCAGTGTAACCTAGGCACTCCTTCTAGTGTTTCCTGGGGCAATGCTTTTATCTTAGAAAATACTTTCTGGAGGCCACGGGTGGGAATGGGGGCATAGCTCAGTAGATAAAGTCCTTGCCACACAGGCATGGGGCTGGAGTTCAGATCCCCAGAACCCAAGCAGAAACAGGTATGCATGCATCTGTCATCCCAATATCTAGGAGGCAGAGGTAGGGGACCTGCAGGGCAATGTGGCTAGCTGGGCCAGCCAGAATTACCAAGTGAGAGACCATGGTTCCATGAACAAAAGGGGACTGAGGAAGACATCTGACAACAACCTGGGCCCTCTCCACACATGTGCGCCTACATGCATACATACCCTCACACATGGATGCCCATGCATATGCGAATATGCATACACACCTGCACACGTGTATCACACACACACACACACACACACAAAGGAAACTGTTTTCTAATAAAATAGCAAGTTTTCAAGATCGTAACGAAAGAACTCTGAGATTAACCTGAGCTGCGTTAAAATGTTTTTCTTTCCAGATTTCGATTGGCAGTGGATTGTTTTAGATGGTCCAGTCGACACCTTATGGATAGAAAATCTAAACACTGTCCTTGATGAAACTAGAACATTGTGCCTGGCCAACAGCGAAAGGATGGCCCTGACTAACAAAATCAGAGTGATTTTTGAAGTGGACTCTATCTTTAATGCCACGCCTTCCATTATCACCCGGTGTGCAGTGGTGTACATGGTACGTTCTCAGGGCCCAGCCCCTGACAGTCACGTGGTGTCTAGGATAGCGACTCATCTGCTAGTCATGTTTCACTTCTAGTCCCGGCTGAGTGACCCCAGTAGCTCAGAAACTTTATTTTCCCCCAAAGTCTCATAATCCGCAAGTAATACTGTCATTAACACTACATTGGGAAGTTAGAACATCTGTATCTCAGACAGACAGGTTAGGCCATTGATATGAATCATTTTGACAGCAAAGGAAAGATTGCCCTGAAGCCATTTTTACTGCATGACGCTCAGAACTTGGGAAAACATTACTAAGACAGTAGTGTGAAGATAGAACACACCTCCCAAAATCATGCCCCTCTGACGAGCTGTAGCTGACTCTCTTCTGTAATCTGCCTAACTTGGGGTGCAAGTTAGAATGAGGGCTGGCCTGCCTAGGCTGACCGGCTCCTTGCAGATTGTACATCCCCAGCACACCACCCGTCTCAGATTCCCATTGCTCGTTTTCTTTTCAGACCATGGTAAAAACCCCAAGATCATTCCAGAGAATTGTGAGTCCTTTAACTGTTTTTCACCGCTGCTGCTGCTGTTTTCGCTTTAAATAATGCTGATTTAACCACGGAGTGGGGGATGGTGAAATAAAAAAATTTAAAAAAAAATAAAGAATGCTGTATTTTTGTTTACATGCGATTTTCCTTTTTTTACTCCTAGGACCCTGTTGATCTGGGATGGAAGCCTTATATTAAGTCGTGGCTTTTGAAAACCTCAAAAACCATAAGTCAGCGAGGAATGGAGTGTCTTGGATTAATGATTAAAAAGAGTGTTACAGAAGGGCTGGAGTTTCTGAAAAGGCACAGGAAGTTTATGCCATACCCCATACAGGATGTGTCGGTCATCATGACGCTCTGCAGAATTCTCGATGCTTTGTTTGAGTTCATGCACATAAAGAGGGGAGGGGCAAAAAGTGAGTTTCCCCAGTCACACTGCGGCACTGTGTCTCCACTCTTCAGAGGGAGCTTATCACTGCCTCCTGGCTTTTTATGACAGAAAAGTGAAGGCAGGAAGAGCATAGACTGTTTGCGTTAACAGCCAGCGTGTACATAGAAAACTCTTAACGTGCATATCCCCAGGGTGAACCGGTAACATACGTGTTCATACAGGTTCATAAACATGAGAAAGAGCCTTTGGAGATCTTGATTACTCCAGAATGTTCTGTTATGTTTTAAGGATTCTTCCAGGTAGGAAGTGTCTAAATGTACACTGTGATCACGCAGAGGCAAAGCAAGAAGGGACGTGCGCACGTTTCTTCCTTCCTGCTGCCATTTTCTGTTGGGTGATTTCTGCTGACTTAGCTTTTGACTCGTTATGCCTTTTTCAGTGCTATTTGTTCTGAGGCTGTTGTGGTCATTACTCACATTTCTGTTTGACTAGACTATAGGTTTCATGGCTCTGCTGAAATCTGACATTTTTTAAAGAATATAATACCCGATGCACCTCTCTTTGTGAAGGGTCAGATTCTACCATGACTTAAGAACACTTGACATTGGGGACACACTTAATATACCTTAGCTACTGCTGTGGTTTTATCGTGCCTGCCCCGAAAGGCTCCTCTGTTTTCCAAGTTAGCTGGAAAAGGTTAGTCACTAGGTACCAGAACTTGGAGAATCTTGTTCCTGGCTCCTTCTTCTCTTGCTTTCTCTCCTTCCTGTTAACAATGAGGTGAACAACCGCCTTCTCCACACATTCATCTGTGTCACCAAGGCCCAGAATCAGCTCAGCCAACTACTGTGGACTAAAATGTCTAAAACTGTAAGCCAAAGATGAATCTTTCCTTGTGAATATTATTCATGCCGGGCATTTTGTTATAGAGACAGGAACAGTGACTAAGAGAGAAAATTGGTTCCACGGCACAGGACCAAACTAGGCCATCTGAATATGGTGACAGTTGTGTGACTGGGGCAGACTGGGGCCACTGGCTGTGGACCAGGATTTATCCCTACTGTGGGGCCAGGATTTATCCCTACTGTGGGACCAGGATTTATCCCTACTGCTTGGACTGGTTTTTTTTTTTTTTAAACCTATTCTCTTTGGAGGGTGTTGACTGAGTTGTCTGTCCTGCCCAGTTCCCCCAGTTGTTAAGTTCCAAAGAAATCACACAGAGGTCTACATTAACTATAAACTGATTGGCCCATTAGCTAAGGCTTCTTATTAACTCTTATAACTTATATTAACCCATTATTCTTCTCTATGTTAGCCATGTGGCTCCGTACCTTATTCAGTGAGGCAGT